TCGGCTCAGGTCATGATCCCAGCGTCCTGGGATCGAGTCCCACATCGGGCTCCTTGCTCGTCAGGGAGCCTGCTTCTCCCTCTGCCTCTGCCTGCCATTCTGTCTGCCTGTGCTCGCTCTCTCTCCCTCTCTCTCTCTGACAAATAAATAAATAAAATCTTTAAAAAAAAAAAAAGTTTAAAAAAAAAAAAAAGTCTGTACTGGTTGGGGACGGTATTCGTTGGCTAGGGCTGCTGAGAAAATGTACCACAAACCAGCGGGCTTCAAAAACAGAACCATGTTTGCTCACCGTCTGGGGAGCCAGAAGTCTGAGATGAAAGTGTGGCTTGAGCTGGTTCCTTCTGAGATGGAGGGAGAACCTGGTTCCGGTCTCTCCCAGCCTCTAATGGTTTGTTGGAAGTCCTCACTGTCCCTGGAGGTCCTTACTGTCCCTGGGATTGTGAATACTTCACCCGGATTTCTGCCTTCATAATCCCATGGGCTTCCCCCTGAATGTATGTCTTGGTGCCCAGATGTCCTCCTTTTTTTTTTTTTTTAAAGATTTTATTTATTTATTTGACAGAGAGAGATCACAAGTAGGCAGAGAAACAGGCAGAGAGAGAGAGAGGGAAGCAGACTCCCTGCCGAGCAGAGAGCCCGATGCGGGACTCGATCCCAGGACCCTGAGATCATGACCTGAGCCGAAGGCAGCGGCTTAACCCACTGAGCCACCCAGGCGCCCCGATGTCCTCCTTTTTAAAGGACACTAGTCCTACGGCGCTGGGGCTGGTCCTCCTAACCTACGACCTCACCTTAACTCATTACATCTGCAATGGCTCGTTTTCCAAATAAGGTCCCATTCTGAGGTCCTGAGGGGTTAGGAGAGCAACAGATGAATTTTGGGGAGGGAGATCCAATCAGCCCTAACAGAAACTGAAAATCAAGGCTGTGTTTACCCAGGAAGTGGTGAACATCACACATTTTACCCAATTAGAAAAGAAAAACTGAGATATCGGGAGGAGAGCGGGTCAGGAGAACAAGCGAGGCTTTCAGCACCGGGGACAGCGGCACACAGTCGAGTCTTTGCGTCCCTCTGGCTGAAAACATTCTCTGGACCCAGAGGCAGATGGCCTAGAAGGTGGCTCGGGGGTCCTGTCCTAGCCTCCCAGGACCAGAGCACTCCATGTTCTGTAAATGAGGCCTCGCGGGCAAGAATGGGCCCAAGGAGAAGGGTTTTGTCTCTATCTCACATCTCCCTGCAGTCCAATTTCTTGGCTCTGCCTGATTTCTTTCCAGCCCTAGACTAGTTGTCTTAGCACCTCTGCTTTCCCTGAAGACCTTGGGGGACTAAATTCAGAAAATAGAAACACTAAAAAAGAAAAAAAAAAGAGTAGACAGACTAGCCATAGATTGGGGGAAGATGTGTGCATCAGATAGAACCATAAAAGAATACAAAGTATTCTTGATTTACACAGCACATAAAGAATTCCTACAGTGCACCAAGGTGCCCGGCTTTGTTAATAACTATGGCAATGTATGTTAAGTCTCAATGAAATACAGTGATACGCCCACCATAATGACTAACGTTTAAAAGCGCTGGTGAAAATGAGCACTAATATTGTCAGACCTGTTGACTGGAGAATTCTTTGGTACAACCCACTTTGGAGAACTGTTCGAAGGAATCCTTTAGAGCTAAACATAGGCCTGACTTATAACCTGCAGTCCCGTTCCCGGGTATGCCTTTGTGCACCAAAGCACCCGTACAAGAGTGTCCCAAAGCAGCTTTGTTCATGATAGCCTCTAGCAGTGGACAGCCCAGATGCCCGCCCACAAGAGTACAGATGGCCAACTTGCAGTATATTCACAGGAGAAAATATTACACAGCTACAAAAAGGAATTAACCTCTGATACCCGCAACCACCTGTTGGGGAGTAGCAGAAGCCAGGCACAAAGTGTACATACGCTCTGATTCCCTTTACGTAAGTTCAAAAGCAGGAAGTCCTCAGCTCCACTGAGTAGTGACCCACACGGGGCAGGAGCCATAATGAAAAGCAATGGTGTGGTTATTACGAAAGCCAGTCTAGCAGTCACCTCTAGGGGATGCAGGGGTTTATCACGGGATGTGAGGCACTGGGGTTTCCGGTGGCTGCCATGTTCTATTCCTTGACCTGGGAGATGGTTACATGATTTTATAATTATTTGCTACATTGTACACTTAATGTGTTCTGCGATTTTTTGGGGTGGTGGTATGTTTTTAATATATCCCAATGATGATTTTTTATTGTGGTAAAACACACATAACACTAAATTCACCATCTTAACCATTTTTTAAAGATTTATTGATTTTTAGAGAGAGAGAGAGTGGGGTGGGGTGGGGTCGGGACTGAGGGAGAGAGAGAATCTCAAGCAGACTCCCCGCTGAGCCAGGAGCCCTGTATGGGGGGCGGCTCTATCTTGCGACCCTGAGATCATGACCTGAGCCAAGACAAGTCGGACATTTAACTGACTGAGCCACCCAGGCGCCTCCCGCCCTCCCCCCATCTGAACTATTTTTAAGTGCACACCTCAGTGGCATTAAACACACTCCCCCGTCCTGCAGCCACCCCCACCCTCTGTCTCCAGAACCTTTCATCTCCCCGGATGGACACTCTGTCCCCACGAATCATGGACTCCCCACCTCCTAACCCCAGCCCAGGTTCCACCATCTCCTCTGTGTCTGTGTGGACAGGACTCCTCTGGGGGACCTCCTGGGAGTGGGGTCCTGCGGGACGGGTCCTTCTGGGTCTGGCTCATTACACCGAGCACAACACCCTCAAGGTTCATCCACGTGGTGAGACGGGTTAGAATCCCCCCTTTTTACGGCAGAATAATATTCCAGTGTATGAATGGACCACATCTCGTCTGTCGGTGCATCCATCGGTGGACACTGCGTTGTTCCACGTCTGGCCGTTGTGAACAACGCCGCTGTGACTGTGTGCAGTATCTGTTCAAAATATCTCTTCGAGTCCCTGGTTTCAATCCTTTCGGGGACAGACCCGGAAGTGGAATTACTGGATCCTATGGTAATTCTATGTTTAACTTTTTTTGAGGAGCCGCCAAACTGTTTCCCACAGGGGCTGCACCATTTTACATTCTCACAACAAATGTTTTTTAAATGCTAGAAACCATCCTCCGCTCTGCCTGGTGCCCTCCTCCCCAGGGCTCCCAGGGAGCCTGTCAGGCCTGCGGCAGACCCCTCCCCAGCAACCAGCCGGCCTGTGGGAGCGCATCCCAGAAGGAAGGAAACAGCCTTAATTAGCTCCTGTCTGGAGCGAGAATGGGCACCACAAAGCTGTTCCCAGGGCTTCTGCTGCAGGGGGTCCGCAGGGGGTCTGCAGGGGGCGGAGGAGGCAGAGGGAGGGAGGTGGGGGGCGGGGTGGACACAGGGTCCAACAGCATGAGAATGGCCCACGATGGTCTCATTTCACACGCAGTGAAAATGAGGCCCCCAGAGGTTAGAGGCAAAGCCCAGGGCTGAAGCCTGCTCCCCTGCGTCCATCCAAGGGGACCTGACTCCCGCCTGCATCCCATGCACATCCCCCCCCCCCCCCCCCCCCACCGGCCTCCGGCAAACGTCTTTCCAACACCTTTGATCTCATCGGCCTGTCTCTGGAGACTTCTCTCTCCTTGCTTCTGTCTCTCTCAATGTCTCTCGTCTCTGCAGTCCTCACGCTTCGCAACCCACCCCCCAACTCACCCCACCCCCCCTCCCACCCCCCCCCCAAGACGTCGTCCAGTCAGTCACACCCTGGCTCTGGACCACTTCAAGTCTGACCCTCCCCTCCCTCTCCTGATTGGCTCTGCGCTTGGCCACTGTGCCACACTCCCGCTGGCTCCCCCCACCGCCCCTTGGCCCCCACCCTGCACTCGGACCATCCTCACTGATGGGGGCAACTAAGGCCCAGAGAAGAGAAGCGCCCTGTCTTCACAAAACAGGTCTTGGCAGAGCCACAGTGCCCCTCGTCTGCAGCTTTGGGGCGGCTGGTGCTCTCCCCACCCACTCCCCCCACCACACCTCACCCAGCCTTCCCAGTATCTCTTCATCTAGCCTCAGCCACGGATTTAATTAACAGCTGGGTCTCCTCTCTCCCCTTCCCTATCTCACCGGTTTGGGGGGGTGGGAGACTACACGTCTGCTGTCGGCCCCCCAAAAAAGTAGGCTGCTGTCTTTATTTTTAACTTGTAGTAAAAAGAACATAAAATCCACCATCCTAACCAATTTTTCCTTCTTTTCCAATTTTTTTTTATTGTGGTGAGATACACATAACATTAAATTTACCATCTTAACCATCTCTGCACAGCTCAGTGGCATTTTTTTTTCTAGATTTTTAAAAGATTTTATTTATTTATTTGCGACAGAGAGTGTGAGCAGGGGCTGGGGGTGGAGGGGAGAGGGAGAGGGGGAAGCAGGCTCCCCGCTGAGCAGAGAGCCCGATGCGGGGCTCCATCCCCGGACCCTGAGACCATGACCTGAGCTGAAGGCAGATGCTTAACCCACTGAGCCACCCAGGTGTCCCATAGCTCGGTGGCATGAAGCACACTCACACTGTCCTGCGACCACCGACACCTTCCCTCTCCAGAACTTACCATGTCCCCACACAGAGACCCTGTCCCCATGAAGCACGGACTCCCCACCCCTGCCCCAGCCCCGGCTCCCACCCCCTCCTGTTTGTCTGTGTGGACGGGACTCCTCTGCGGCCCTCCCAGGAGTGGGGACCTGCGGGACGGGTCCTTCTGGGTCTGGCTCCTCTCACTGGACCCAGTGTCCTCGGGGTCCTCTATGTTGTGGCAGGGGTCAGAGTCCCTCCCTCCCTGAGGCTGGACCATGTCCCGCGCGGGGATGGAAGGACAGGTTGTATTTATCATTCCTCCACTGAAGGACATTTGGGGTGTTTCCACCTTCTGGCCTTTGGGATCAATGTGACCATGAACACGGGTCTACACATCCCCTCTCGTAACACCCCCGTTTCTTTCCTTTCCAGGCTGTGCCTTTCTCACCTATTGTGCCAGGGACTCTGCCATCAAAGCTCAGACTGCCCTGCACGAACAGAAGACCTTACCCGGGGTGAGTCCGGGGTGCTGTCTGGGAGGGGGCTGCTGTCAGCCTGGGGAAGGCTGAGGCCCTTCCTGGGATCAGCGGCGGAGCCCACTTGCCTCTGGACTCAGAAAGAGGTACAAGGTGCAGACAGACAGAAACGATCATCAGAGAGAGCATTTACTGAGTGCCTACTGCATGCTATGCTCTGTACTCCCCACCAGAGTGGTTGTGTGTGGTTGTGTAGGTTGCACACGGCACAAGGGCACCTGGCCCTGCACGTTAGTGTCGTTGTGCTGAGATCTGAAGGATGAAGAGGCATTAGCAGGCAAATGGAATAGCCGTGCAAAGTCCCTGAGGCAGGACTGTGCCTGGAGTGTTGGAGGAGCAGCAAGGAGGCCTGTGTGGCTGGAGCAGAGGGAGCAAGAGGGAGCGAGAGAGGAGGGGAGTGTAGGGAGGGGACCGGGCAGGTCATACAGGGCTGGCCCAGGCTCTGTCCCTGCTGGCTGTCCTTGTCAGCCCTGCCTTCCTGGGGAGAGCAGAAGGTCCCCGTCCCCGGTGAAGGGAAGGTGGTCCTCCTGAGCCAACTGAGCCCAGGCAGTGCCTCGAGATCGAAATTGAAGGAACCACAATGAGATCCGTGGCACCCCATGACCTCTGGGATTCTCGGGGACTCTTCAGCATCAAAGGCTTTTGGGGGAAGCTCGGGTGGCGTCTGCAGCCACAAATGCTGAGGATACGTGCGCAACGTGGTTGGCTGGGTAATCGGGGTGCACCTGCCAGCAGCATGAGGTCATGGCAGGGGTTGTTGGCTTGACGCTGAAAGCACCGAAAATGGTCCTGGGGTTGGCCTCAGCCTCATAGTGAAGAATAAGGTGCCCCTCTCTGGGGGAGGGGAGCGTGGAGTGGAGACAAGAGCGGTAGAGTGCTGTGGCAGCCACATCCGTGGACTCCTTGCTCAGTCCCCAGCAATCCTTGCTATGTGTCCATGAGCCAGTGACTTAACCTCTCTGATCTTCGGCACTGGAAGAGTATAACAGGGGGGAGTGGAGAGAGGCAACTGTAGAGAAGGTGGTCAAGGAAGTCTTCACTGAGGAGGTGACATCTGAGAATTCACAGTTCTCCCTCCCATGGACGTGGTGCCAGCATCTCCTCACACCAAGCCGGAACTGGGGGCAGGTTAGCGGGGGGGGGGGTGTGGGGTGGAGGGGGACAGTGGAGTTCTGTGGATCTTCTTAGTTATCTCCTGCTGCCGAACAATTATCCCACATCCGGCATGAGTTATCTCAGGGCCCCGGGGCAGGAATTAGGGAGTGAGTTTGCCGCACCGTCCTGGCTCAGAGTCTCTCCTGACGTCGCCGTCGAGAGGTCAGCCGGGTCCCCCCAGGACCCAAGGAGGATGCTCAGCGGGCCTGGGTCTCCAGGTGCCAGGGCCCCGGGGGCGTCGGGCACTTAGAGGAACAAATCAGTGCTGCAGTGGGTGCTGTCCCAGGTTGGCGGCTGGCAAACAGTGGAGCGGGGATCTGACCACAGACCCTGCGTGGGCACCCAGTCCTTCTGCGTCCACTGGACCTGTGTGTGCGTGCGTGTGCGCGTGTGTATGTGTGTGTGTGTGATCAGATTCGGGCTAGAAGCTCTGACCCTTCTGTCTGGAACAATCCGTACCCTCACGGAGATCTGCTAACAGCTCTAACATGATTTTCCTGAAGGAGTCTTTGAGACCCAAAGCCAGACTCCTTTGCTGTGACCTGAGCCCCGGCTCCCTCCGTGTTGGGGACAAAGATGGGCTCTGGGCTCCATCAGCAGCTGGGATCAGGGGCCCCTCCAGGGGCTCAGACGCTGGGCTGAGTCCTCAGCACCCAGTGGTGCATCCAGCAGACACGTACAGAGCACCTGCTCTGTGGCCGGCGCGGAACCCAGCGAGAGGGCATCCGGTGATGGGAGCAACAGGGAACGGAGGAGCAGGGGGACGCTCAGAGGGATTTTCAGACTCTGGATGCGGGTTCCATTCAGACAGCGTGCTTGGGGACACCACTCTGCACAGGGAACGGGGCTCAGAGGGGCAGCAGGGAGATGTGGTTGCCCAGGAAGCGACTGGGGCAGGGATGGTAGAGGTAGAAGTCGGGGGTTTACGATGCCTTGGGAGCAAGGGTTTCTGGGCAGGAGTGAATGGGGGGCTGCGCACTAGGGGGCTTAGCATGACGGAGACTTATTCTCTCTCAATTGTGGGACCCGAGGTCTGAAATCAAGGTGTCAGCAGGGCCGTGCTCCCTCCAGAGTTCCTGGGGGGGACTCTGCTCCGCGTCTCTCCAGCTTCCAGGAGCGCCCGTAATCTTTGATGTTCTCCAGCTCGTAGAGGCATCAGCCTCTGTCATCACGTGGCCGCCCTCCGTGTCTACACGTATCCGCTCTTCCTCTGCCTTTCTCCTATAAGGACACCTGTCCCTGGGTTTAGGGCTCACCCGAAATCCAGGATGACCCCATCTCGAGATCCATGACTTGCTGACATCTGTAAAGACATCTGTTCCAAATGTAGTCCCATTCACAGGTTCTGGGGCGTTAGGACTTGGACATGTTTTGGGGGGCTCCCCATTCAAGCCACAGAATGAACAGTGGGTATGAGGCAGTTGGGGGGAACATCTTGGGGAGGGGGCCCAGGGGGAAGCAGGGGGCCTGGCCCACCGCCGAGGACCTGGTGGCGGGCAAACAAGGCACCTTCTCGCAGGACGGGGCGTTTGCACCATGTCTGGAGAGATGGGGAAGGCTGTGGCAGATGGAGGTGGGGGTAGCGTGGGGACCGCGTGTGCCGAGACTGGGAGGCAAGAACGTGCCAGGCACATTTTTGAGTGCAGGAACGCACGAGAGCCTCCATTGTCTCATGGAGGAGTTCACATCAGGTCACAAGGTGGTCCCAACCCCCGGGGGGCAATTCTGCCCCCACAGGACCCTGGGTGACATCTGGGGACATTTGCGATTGTCATGACTGGGAGAGATGACTGGCATCCAATGATCAGGAGAATAAGGAGCTGGTGAATGTTCTAGAGCGAATGCTAACGGACAAATAACTCAAGCCACAAACGGCATTCCCATTTTTCTAGGAGCAACAGCTAAAAATTAAAAAGAAACAGGTGAAATTAATTTTCATGCTAGATTTCCTCTTAACCCAACACTTCTCCAAGATATTATCAGTTCAGCAGGCAGTCGGCATAGTTAAGGAGAGCTCACGTCCCTTTGTCCCTCGGAGGTGGTCCCGCCCCTCGGTCCATCTCAATTTGGACAGTCAGTTGTGATCAGAAATGCTCGATCTGCCTTTGCTGTTTACGTTCTATAAAACGGAGAGTTGGAGAAGCAGGTTCACACACCTGCATGCTCTAAAATACTTAAGAGATTTTCCAAGAATGGAGTCAGAAATCAGTTTTTACATGTAAGTTTATATTTACATTAATTATAATTAAACCAAAAAAATTTTTAAAGATTTTATTTATTTATTTGACAGAGATCACAAGTAGGCAGAGAGGCAGATGGGAGGGTGGGGGAGCAGGCTCCCCGCTGAGCAGAGAGCCCGATGTGGGGCTCGATCCCAACACCCTGGGATCATGACCCGAGCCGAAGGCAGAGGCTCTAACCCAGAGCCACCCAGGCGCCCCTAAACAAAATTTAAAATTCTGTTCCTTGGTCACACAAGCCACATTTCAAGGGTTTGATGGCCACATGCGCTGGTGGCTACCATGTTGGACAGTATCCCACAAAAACGTTCGAGGCCAAGAGTTGGCAAACTTCTTCTGTAAAGGGTCAGAGAGGGACTATTTTTGGCCTCACGGGCTGTAGGCCCTCTGTGACATCACATAAAAGAAACCACAGACAATGCAGAAATGGATAGGTGTGGCTGTGTGTCAATAAAACTTTATTTACAAAAACAGACAGAGGCCCAGAATGGAGTTGGCAGATCCCCATTCTAGGCCATTGCTGTCCGATAGAATTTTCCAGAGTGATGGAATGTTCTGTCTCTGCAGTCCAATTTGGTGGCCGCTAGGTTGGTGTGGCTACTGAGCCTTTGAAATGTGGCAAGTGTGATTCGGGAAAAACTTTTTTAAAAAAGGATTTTATTTATTTATTTGAGAGAGAGACAGAGACAGAGACAGAAAGAGCATGAGCAGGGGAAGGGCAGAGGGACAAGCAGACTCCCCACTGAGCAGGGAGCCAGACATGGGGCTCAATCCCAGGACCTCAGGATCATGACCTGAGCTGAGGGCAAGCACTTAATGGACTGAGCACCCCCAGGTGTCCCCTCAGGAACAATTTCTAATGCTGTTTGATTTAAATGTAAACTTAAACCGCCACATGTGGCTCATGGCTACCACACTGGACACCTCAAATCTAGAATGTTCTAGATCAGGGGTCAGCTACTGTGTTAGACGGCAGATATCGAATGTTCTAGACTGGGGGGTCACCTACTGTATTGGTGAGTTCAGACCTAGAATGTCCTAAACTAGGAGTCAGCCACTGTCTTGGATAGCACAGATGTAGAATGTTCTAGACCAAGGATCCACTACCATCTTGGTGCAGACCTAGAATGTTCTAGACCCAGGAACATGATTCGGTGTCATCTTATTATGTCTAGATTGTGGGTCTCAGTTTGATACCAGCTCATGGTTGGAGAGGCGGAGGGGGAGGAATTATCAACAATACCCAGAAACCGTCCCTGCCACGTCCCCAAGCCTGTGCTGTCACCATCCTGACCTCTGTGGTAACTGACCCCTGATTTTCACGTTCTCTGCACTTACGACCACATCTCTGAAACCCTGGGCTGCTTTTCCCCACTTGCTCTTTCCCCACGGTGGACGGATCCATAGCACACAGAGTCTTTACCGTCTGCATTTTTCTTTCACTTAGCACGATGCTGAAGAGGGTCGGCATCCCCTGTCGTGCCACGCGCCCCAGCCGCGGGTGCCTTTTCATGGCTGGCTGGCATTTCACCACACGAAGCCGCAGTTGACTTGTCTGTCCTCCCGTTGGTGGACACCCGGGTC